ATGAAATTTATTTGCGAATTCAACCACAGCGCCAGGATCCATATTCATTGTAACATTGGTAATTCGAAGTTTTCCGAACAATTTCACCAGCTCTTCTTTACTGTAATTGTTCGGAAAACCGTACACGTGTACCAGCGATACTGCTGAAATGTACAACATTATCATTATCACCATAATGTAAACGTATAATTTAAAAAATTTTCTGCAAAAATTACTGAACCAAATGTCAAGTTAGGAGAATTAGATTACTAGTAAAAGTCTAAAAAAAAAAACCCAAAAGCCTGTCCACGATTACTGTGGAAAATGAAGGCACTCGGGAAGTAGAAAGAACCAATAATAAAAATGGTATTTATGGTTTTTGATCCAAGGGATGCTCGAAGAAAGCCACTAGCAGTTCAACTCCCTTCCAAATGTAGCTAAATCCCGCAGGAGGAAAACTTCGTTTCAGTCATGCAGCTCGCACACACTGGATTTCATACACCACTACTAACTAAGTCGCGTGGATGTGAAAAATTTAACATTTTTTCTCGTAAGAAGTGGTAACACTACGCTGACCCACCACTTAATGCAGCTTCGATCAGAGCAACTGTAGGAAGTTTGTTTGCTGTGCAACGATGAAACTCGAGCCAGTAAAAGCACCAGAAAATTCACACAAAAGAAGAAACTCGAAGTTTGCAATCTCAGGAATTTATTGCCCCGCGGATATTTTACAATGCGAATGCAAAATCACAACCAAAAAATTCAGCCTTACCATTGCTGCAGCGAATTTTTTCATCATCCTTTCCATGCAGAACTTTATTAACAGCATATGTCGCATCAGCCGAACCGGGAGGAATGATCGTTATTCCCCGTGGCCCATTTCCAACCTTCATAGTAAACTTTGCGGGATACCTGTAATTCAGGGGTGCTTATGCTGTAGATATTTGCAATTTGTTATAAAAAAGACTGCGATGATGGACCAAATTTACTACATTTAGCGCAACGGAAAAAACGCGTTTCCCACTGATACCCAGCAACGTAAAGAAGTCAGCAGGAGGGCTGCCGATGCGCTAACTCGGCTGTATGGAATACTGTGTGTGAGGCTCTGCGGTCACTGAAGAAAAAAAAACATGAAGTGACGACAAGGAGCTGTTTCACATATGAAGATGCAGCGATGAACATACACTGGCGCTGTTTCATCCCTTAGCCGTAAACAGAGACTGAGATGCGCGTGCAAATAGCAGTGGCAATCACCGGCGCAGCCTCCGACCCACAACTGCTACAGAAATGATCGATATTCTTGCCATCGCGCAGTGCTCTTGATATGTATTACCGCTTAGGATACTTCTGATAAAGAGCAACTACACAGGGAGTTTTTCATTTCAGTCACTGAGAGATTGCTATAAATTTATTATTTCTAGTTTTCTGAAATATAAACACACGCTGAGTAAAGAAAGAAAAAAAAAAAACAATGAAAACATACAGATCGGATGCCAAAATAAGCCGGGAAAGGCATCGGCTGAACCACTGTAAGATATTGCCTACAACATCCCTCATCCTGCATCCTGCGAAACGACTCACAGCATTCGTCAGCAAAATACCCTGGCGTATCAGATCGTATTTGGCCGCTAACTCCTTCATCAGTTTATACTCCAGCGAATCGGGCTCCGGTAAAATATGGAACACAACCATCACCCCTGGAAGTTCTGAAACAAGCAAACCAACATGACCGGAGAGGGGAAGAAAAAGCATTCATCTCAACTAATGCAAATGCCCCTGCGCCATCCATCTGATACTGATAACCCGGAAGTGGCACGGCTCTCGAGCTAAAAATCGACAGCTCCAATCTGCCAGTGGCATAGTCATCCCCTTTCATCTCGATCGTAAACTGCTTAATGCTGCTTGTTATAAAATCGAAACCAACATCAGCTCGTTCCTTAACAGCTCTGGCTGCTCCAATCAGCAGCCATCCCTCACAGAAAGTGAGGAAGAAGAGAGGGGCGGGGATTGGTTTTCCCAATCAGTCTTTGATGCCGGAGAGCATGATGTGATGATGGCAGGCAGGGTTACTCTTTTGGTCGAGGGTTCAGTGCTCGGTAGGAGTGAGGTCTGGCGAGCTTGAAGGGTGGCGTCGGGTGGAGCCCAGATGCAGCTTCGGAGGTACGGATTGAGGCAAGACAGAGGAGAGGAACAAGGAGGCTAGTGACAGTACCGAACGGTTAATGACGACAGCGACTGGAAGGTGGTGACCCGCCAGTAGGACAACCAATCCTCCTAAAATTTCTTATTTTGGTGCGAGATGCTGTCAGGAAATCGGCACTCCTGTCAGACCATTGTTTTTAGGCAACTACTGAAAGAAGGAGCCATCGACTGCCTTGCCGGAAAGCGCATTTTTTACCACTCCGGCTACTTCCCAGTGCTTTTTTCGAGTACGATAGCATTTCAGCCATCTTTCCATTGCTCTTGTACGCTGCAAGCGATGAATGCGTGATATTCTTACCTCTGTGGATGGTGCTATAGGCGCAGCGCACTTCCACCTCGTTGCCCGGTGTCGTGTACAGGACGCGTTTCGGCTCTTCGTCAAAATAATGCGTAAATCCGTGGGAGGCAGCCTGCTCTTGCAGTACGCCCGTTAGCCAAATGGCGAAATCGCTGCAAAACACACTGCCAAACAATTGAAAGCAATGACCCCCCATTGAAAACCCTAAAAATCGGGAAATGCGGCTTACCGGAGTTCCGGGACAATCGTTTTATCGGGCACCGAGCACACCAACACCCACGAGTAGGCCAACGGACCGCGATAGACCATTTCTCCTGCAAAAAAAATCCGCCCGCAAAATTCCACCGATTCTAGCACCGAAGCACGCAAGACATCTAAATGCAGAGATCCATTCACGCGACAGTCCGGTGCTTTTTACACTGACCCCCTCAAGCCGATCCCACAAGCAGCTTTCA